CTCACAGTCCGCAACCCTTTTTTCAGTACACATAACTTTCGGATAAAATCCGAAGTTTCCCCATTTATTTAAATCCACGCTTGTTATGAACCTTGTGATATTTTATTGTGCATAAGGGTAAGGGGTGAGGAATGTTTCTTTTCTCTCATCCTTATCCTTCTTTGATATAATTCCTATTAATTCTGGAAGAATGTCTTAAAGATTTTCGTATAATCCTGAATAATTGTGGCTATATACTTCTTTGAAGACTGAATGGCTTTCTACAACCATCTTATCACCACATTGTTTTTCCTACTTTGAATCCTGACAGGTTCCTACTGAATGGTGACTAAAGCCGTCCCCCCCCCCTCTAGAATAAAAGACCATAGCCTTATACAGTGTCTCGGCACATCGCTTCTTTTTAGGTGGCCTTTTATTAAGGCCCATTTTTTGACTAATTATTAATTAGAAAACTATTTCAAGTTAATAATTAGTTAGTAGCTATTTTTTACCATTTTAGACGCTTCTCACAGACAAAAACGCTTTTTTTCGTTAAAAATACATTATAAATAAGGTTAGCCCCTATAGTTATGAATTAAAATTTATGAAAAAAGTCAAGATTTTCGTAATTCATTAATTATCCATTGCATGGCCTTCTAATAGTGCGTTTGAACTTTTGTCCGAACATGGTCTTCTACAGAGGTTGACCTCATAATATAGGGGTGAGTGTAGGTGTGGAGGAGGGGATATGCGCTTTCAGAATTTTCTAGTTTTGATCGAGTCTTAATTGTAAAATAGTGATACCCTGTTCAGAATCGCAATTAATTCATGATATAAATGTTAATTAGATTTTAATATACCGTAACCACACGGTTCTTAACTCAGACTTTTGCATTATTCGTTTAAATTCAGTAAATAACTTACTAAAATTCTATTTAAGATTTCTTTATAGTCTCGTACAATTTTTTCTCATTTTGTGTTATAAACAAGCAACGTGCGTCGTTGTCGCTCACTGGACCCTGGAATGTGCAAGAAAAAACTAGTTTACTGTGTCAATGGTGATACAAACTGGCCCTGCAGTTAGCTGGAGAGGAACAGTTGAAATGTTTGCTTACGCTTAAATCAAATTTCGAAACAAGGCGCAATTTAACGGCTCCTGTATATTCCAAAAATACATTACATCGGGATCCACGGTTGTCCCCGTAATATGGAACGTGAGCGCCCATGATTACTACCAATATGTGCCATAATATTTCTTTTCACCTTTACCGTGAATCCTTTGCGAACAGACAAACAAACGTTTTTTTCGTCTGGCTCTTTATGCAGTTGAGGCAATAAGTAAGTGAATAAAGACTCACTTTCGAAAGTTTTCTACTTGTCCGCCATTTCATTGATCTCACATTTATGCTGCATATAGTAGACAATATGAGTCATAACTGCTGCATGTGAACAGTATTTCGATGCATTAGCATGCTGAAAAGTGAACTAGTACAGGGTAACTGATAAGAATGAATCACGTTAACAAGTAAAACCTATGACTTTCAAATTGTATTTTATTTTACCACCCTACACAGTATTTATACATGATGTAGACTACAAAAGAGATGGTTTTTGGTGATATTATTTGTCACATGTTACTACATAGAAAAAATAAGAGAGTTATGAGGATGACTGGAAGTTCTAAATATGGCGAGAAGTCCTAAATGACAGAACGTCAAAATCTGCAGAATTTTTAATGATTTAGGGTTTTATCCGCAGATCAAACTCCCTCCTACAAAACCCATTTATAGGTTTTGTCATACTAAAAATGGTTCGGAAAGAAAATAAGAAATAGTTCAAGTTCAATAAAATAACTATTAAGATTTAATACGTAACGATACGATTTTTATACAAAACCAATAAAGTTCAGCGAGAGAGCTGATACTAATGTTGATTTTGGCTTTATTTTGTATTCCCCTTTCATTCAACCGGGAAAAAAGTAACATTCGTTCTTTTGCTTCTCAAGATTGAAGTGGAAAAGCGCGTTTAGTCATATTCGTTTATCATAGACAACGAAAAGACGTTACATTTTATACTTGTGTGCTTGCTGGATTTACTAACATAATACATAAATGGGAAAGCTTGATGGTAAAGTGGCTCTCGTCATTGGTGGATCTGATGGAATCGGATTTGCAATAGCCGAACTGTTTGTCGCGGAGGGCGCTTTTGTATTTATCACGGGACGACGACAATCAATGCTCGATGAGGCCCTGAAGAAGGTTAACTCAGATAAAAAGTTAACTGCAATACAAGCGGATTGCTCTAACATGGCCGACATAAACAAGGTATACACTCAAATTAAACAAGAAAAGGGTCATTTGGACATTCTTGTTGCTAATGCAGCTGTTGCTAAATTTGCTGCATTGGAATCGGTTACTGAGCAGCATTTTGATGAGACATTCAATACAAACGTCAAAGGAGTACTATTCAATGTTCAAGCGGCATTGCCAATTTTTAAAGACGGTGGTGCAATTATTATTCTCGGATCCGTCGCTGGTTGCAAAGCAGTACCTGCCTTCAGCGTTTACAGTGCAACAAAGGCAGCTCTGCGTTCATTTGCTCGAAGTTGGTCGGTCGACCTTAAGAGTCGAAACATTCGTGTAAATACGCTTAGTCCAGGGCCTATTAATACCACGGATTTTACACAACAACCAGAAGATATCCAGAGCCTAATCAGATCCAAACCGCTTATGAATCGAATTGGAGAGCCCGAAGAGGTGGCAAGAGCTGCTCTTTTTCTTGCCTCAAACGAGGACAGCAGTTATATTACAGGAATCGAACTTTTTGTTGATGGTGGTACAGCACAAATTTAAAGTCAATGCTGTTCTTTGTCTCATGTAGACTTTCAACTATTGACAAACGACAACAAGCTCAGAGATATTTTGTCTTAACAGTTCTCGGCAACTCCTGTTCCTTGACTTTTTTCAACAAATAGAACGCTTATAGTTTCATCAGGAAAAAATAGAAAGTCAAGTATTGATTCACGCACTAGATTCCTCGAAATACAGCTTGTAAGCAACAACGCATGAAATTATAAACCTAAACGTAGAACTTTTTCCTGCTTGATAGTGCATGTCATTAGGATATCCTCTGTGACACAGCCGAATATTGCAATTGAAGAGGAATTTCTGTTTAAATATTACTCGTCGAGCTCGAAATAATTTTGAGATTTATCGGCAAATCCATATTTTTAAATTCCGAAGCTTTATAAAAAAAAGTGTTAAGGACATATTTATTTATCTGAGCATCTTGATCATCATTTTCTGTATCTTTCATTACAGTTGATGTTGAGAGTGTGCATCATAAATTAAGGATATTTTGTCTTTTCTTACTCTTACTTCCATCCACCTTCTCACGCATTGAAAAAGAAAAAAGAAGTCACTAAAACTGAACAGTTTTTCGTGTGCTGAAAAAGTTTTAGTTCAGCACTATTTTCGTTTTCGGTACACCCATTTCTGAATGAAATACGATTGATCGATCCGTGCGAGTTCGCACATTCTGAAGCGCAGTTTAAAAGCTTCCTAAAACATCGGGATGTATTTAGTTAGAAACAATCGAGATATTAAAGTTTTTTCAGTGAAGAATGAAACTGTGTCAAGCGAAAAGTCAAATAATTCGTTTTGGAATTATATTGACATCAATACTCCAAAAACGGTTTTTTCAGTATTTTCGAATTTTTTTCTAACTGAAAAACATTTTTTAACAATATGATTGCGTCCTAAAAAAGTATTGAGATCTTTATGGATAAAAAATGACCTTTTTTCAGATTGTAATTTGTGAGTGGCAGTCATCATTACAAGCTGTTTATGAAAACTTATATGCTTTAAGGCAGTCTTTGTTCTTTCATCTTCCATTAAGAAAAAACTTTCGCGCCAGGAAAACTGTCAGCGATTCGCCAAACAGCTATGTCTACCATCGTGGTTTCGAGATGTTTCATAACGGTGATATACCACAACCTGTTAGCTATCCTATAAAAAGTTAAAATTTGTCATAAATTCGAATCCTTCCTTTATTTATAATGGTGATTCATCCTGACAGTACCTTATAAAGGAATCACACCAGCTAGAGCTTTTCTTTTAAGCTCCTAGCTTGGCCATAGCTAGAACCCATACAATAGATTCTCAGACCAGCTGAACTGTTGTCACTTGTTAAGCTTTGATGAGTAATGGCGCATCGAGTACAACGTCAAACTGGAAGTCTTGGCTTCACCTACGATTTTCCCTAATTTCATTCAAACTCAGTGATGGTTTCAATTGGCCTTAGGCACATTCTCAGCTGCCACTATGATTAGTCAGGTGGAAACTTTAATCTTATCGTACAGAATAAATTAGAGATCAAAATAACATACTAAAACTGGTTTGTTGCCCAAAAACATTCTATGAAGAGATCGCTCATATATATACACACAAAAAAAAATGCAAGAACATCCAATTAAAAATCTCCAAAATAGTCTATTTTGAGCGCGCTAAGAAACCGCTGTTAGGTCGCATAAGTATTCTGAGAGTTTTGATAACGTATGCTTGTGATAAATTGGAATTTCGTATTTATTATACCGCCACTCACTATAATGCTCTTTTACCGTTCCAAAGTTATTTTCAACAATGTATACTACACTTTGACTTGGTTAAAATGAGTATATGACGAGAGCCTATTGAACTAAAAAATTTCATCGTGACAAATAAATAAAACCTTCAGCACTAACTCTTTGCCGCATGCTATGGAGCACAGAAAGAATGCCCGCCAGGTCCAAAGAATAGTTTGTTTGTACACTATAGGACGAACTGTTTCTAGACAGATTGATCAAGATTAATCCTTCGTGATCTTTAGTTTTCGATTGCACATAAATAATGTTGACTCGATGTTGAACAAACAATTATCATACAGACACACTATTAACATATATGGTTTTCATAGATTCTTGATGCTGTGACACAGGATCTCATGTGTACAACCCAATGCCTCTATAGTTTAGGATTACTTTGCAGCTCCTTAAATCTTTCATTTAATGGTAGACAATGGTCACACATTTACTCTGATTATGCTAAATTTTTGTTTACCAAATATTTCACCCAAGACTTTTCCGCGATTCTTTTCAATATCATCAGCTTAATATCGACTTTTATTTAAATTCATCGAAGTTTCATAGTAAGCCCAGAGACATTGACTAAAAGAAAGATAAACTGGACAATATTCTGCCAGATATTCCTATCTGATCCGTCCGAGTTGTGCTAACAAGCTCACTGTTGGAGATTTTATCAATGTACCTACCTGTTCGTCGGTCGCCCCTTTTTGTCAATCTTTCTTGTTCATTGTGTTGTCGATAACAGACAATGTTCTATCTGATATGAGACACAATTGAAGCGTAGTACAGTGTAGTAAACATAATCTACATGAAGAGTAACGCGACAACGCTTTTCATCCAATTTGTTATTGTGATCATGAGAAAATAAAATGAATGGAAAGCCGCAGCAATAGAAGAGGAGTATTTCATTTCATTTTCATCATTTCTCTCGTTACACTAGTAAATCTAGCACTCAAATTTCTTCAGGATCAATCCACCACCATGGAAAGTTTAGTGACGGTACCTATCACCGAAAACCAGTGCCTAACTACTGATAGAGAGTCCAATAAACTTTTCGTCATTTCGTGTATACAGAAAATATAGAAACTTCTACCGTAACTCGGAATGAAACGGTTTGTCTAGTCAAGCGAGATATTTAGAATTTTTTCGGCCATATTTATTCTTACGTTTAGTATCAAAAGACTCATGATAGAATATGACCGGCTCTGACAGAGATATTGAAATTTCAATGCGTGGAAATTTAATAATACATTAGTGCATCTAAGTATAGTATCTAAGCAAAGGTTATTCTTTTATTTCAACCTGGCCATTTAATATCGACATGCTTTGCAGATCTCATAAAACATCGAATGAAGTTTAGTATCAATTCAAACACGATACATCCTAAACATTAATATCACAACGCTTTTAAAATTCATTAATTGCGTTACAAAATAATCTAGACATTCTATCATAGGAAAATTTCCATGAGGTGAAATTTCAATATCTCCACCAGAGCAGCTCATTAACAGCTCATTTTCGAACTCGACAGAGATATTGACGAGCGAATACATGTGCATTGTTTCTTTTTTTTCTATTTATCAAATTCAAATTTGATGGAAATATTTATTTTGACAGTGAAGTCATATAAATAATATTAATGTAATAAAACGAGAAAGCTATACGATTAACAATAGTATGTGTTTCAATAAAATGATGAAAATTTTGAAAATCAGAAGAAATAAATGTACCAATAAAATTCAACTTTTGGATTCGACATATATATCATACAATAAATATTGAACGAACTAATCCAATATATAATTTTTAAAAAAGTCTAATTTACCATTTATTACGCAGGATAACGTGAATAAGAAAATTAATGAGTGTCACAATGAGGACGAATATTTTGCTGGTGATAAAAGATGTAGCGAGATTAACAATTTTATTCAAAACACGTTAACAAAAAGATATGTCGGAATTCTTTAACAACCTATTACCATAATCATTAATACGTGTGATGTTTGTCAAGTTAGAAGATCATTTCATAAATCATCAGCTGAAAATTTAATTTGTTGAGTAGGTTTTTTAAATTGGTATGCCAGTGAGTTTAATTGGTACGAGAAGTACAGCATACGATGGATTTCGTTTCATTGTACATTGTAAAGATTAGTTTTTTTTGTTACAAAATTTAGTTTGTTATTTTTATGGGAGCCAAAAGAGGCCAGTGATACTGTCTTTCATTTGAAAAATATATTTGCTACTTAAAATCAGTTCGATTCTTGATTCATCATTATTTCGCAGTTTTGTTCTCGAAAAGAAAATATATTATCGTGACATTTTGTTTAACATACGACATTCATAGATTGACGAAACAATAGAAAATGGTTCATTTTATGAGTTAGAAAGCTATCAACCTAAGAGACTCAAAAGAGCAATATAGTAACAACGATTCAGTTAGTAGTTAGAATCGGGTGAAGAAGGTTTCTGATCAGGGAGCGTCAGATACTAATCTCACACTAATCTCCATAGCAGGTACCAATATCAACTTCTCCAAGGATTTTTCTCATTTGGTACCTTAGATTATTCCACTTGAGATACTCTCTGCGGACGTTTTGTTTTCCACCTTCATGTGTATAAGTACTTTGAAGCTGTTCCTGAAGATATTTTTAGTTTTCTGTAACTTTTATACACATTTTATTCGAGTTAAAAATTCGATAACGCGATACATTTTGTGCTAAATTAGTTGAGAGTATTTTAAAGAAAGACCTTTAGCTCCAGTATTGATTCAGAAAATCTGCTCGTGAAAATGATCGAAAACTCATGAGAAATGGGATATGCTCAGTGCTGTTCATGTTTTATAATCATTTATAGTAATAATTCAACTGTCACATTTCTTATTTTGAATTCGTTCGATGTTTAGAATATTTATTTAATGTAGGTAGAATAAAATGATTGATGGAAAGAAAATCGGACCACATGAACATGTAGTTCAAAATATCCAAAGAAACTAAATTCAAACTTTTCATGTATGCTATGGAGGTCACAAGTGACGATTACAGGACACTACACCCTATTCTGCTTTCTAATTTTGACTCTTGCTAATAGTCCGTTTTTCGATTTCATAGTCAATTTTATATCGGGTATGATTGTTTGTTCTGGAATAAGTTCGAATTCAAAACGTTGAAGTAACATTGCCGTTATTATTTTAGCTTCTAATATTGCAAATGGCTGCCCTATACAGTTGCGTCTACCACCCGAAAATGGTAAATAAATGTAGGAACTCGACAAATTATTTTTCTTTTCAAACCCTAGCCATCGTTTGTAGTCAAAATCAAGTGGGTTGTGCCAATACTCAGCTGAACGATGTACGCCATAAACGTCGATACTGATTGATGTGCCGATCGGAACCCGTATTTGCCGGTCTGGCGGACCAATATAGTTTTCAATAATGCATTCACGTCGGATCGTTGGTAGTGGCGGATAAAAGCGCAATGTTTCGTGCAAAACTGCATCGAGAATGTTCATTTTGTTTAATTTATCAAAATCAGGAACTATACTCCCTTCCAACAATCGATCAACTTCATCTTGGCAATCACGATAAACATCGGGGTACTTCAGAAGTACGTAGAAGCACCAAGTCATTAAATTACTGCCAGCTTCATGTCCCGCAAACAGAAAAGATGCTGCTTCTTGTTGTAGNAGCAGCATTTTGATGAGACATTCAATACAAACGTCAAAGGAGTACTATTCAATGTTCAAGCGGCATTGCCAATTTTTACAGACGGTGGCGCAATTATTATTCTCGGATCCGTCGCTGGTTGCAAAGCAGTACCTGCCTTCAGCGTTTATAGTGCAACAAAGGCAGCTCTGCGCTCATTCGCTCGAAGTTGGTCGGTCGACCTTAAGAGTCGAAAGATTCGTGTAAATACGCTTAGTCCAGGGCCTATTAATACCGCAGATTTTACACAACAACCAGAAGATATTCAGAGCCTAATCAGATCCAAACCGCTTATGAATCGAATTGGAGAACCTGAAGAGGTGGCAAGGGCTGCTCTTTTTCTTGCCTCGAACGAGGACAGTAGTTATATTACAGGAATCGAACTTTTTGTTGATGGTGGCACAGCACAAATTTAAAGTCAACGCTGTTCTTCGTCTCATATGGACTTTCAACTATCAACAAACAACAATAATAATCAGAAAAGCCGCGTAGATACAAAATAGCTCAGAGACATTCTGTCTCAACAGTGCTCGACAATTTCTGTTTCTTTATTTTTTTTAAATAAATAGAACACTTTGATGATTACAGGATACTACATCCTATTCTGTTTCCTAACTTTCACTCTTGCCAATAGTCCGTTTTTCGGCTTCATAGTCAACTTTATATCGGGTATTATTGATTGTTCTGGAATAAGTTCGAATTCAAAACGTTGAAGTAACATAGCCGTTATTATTTTAGCTTCCAATATCGCAAATGGCTGCCCAATACAGTTACGTTTACCACCCGAAAATGGTAAATAGGTGTAGGAACTTGACAAACCATTTTGCTTTTCATGGCCTAGCCATCTTTTGTAGTCAAATTCAAGTGGATTATGCCAATATTCAGCTAAACGATGTACTCCATAAACATCGATACTGATTGATGTGCCGATGGGAACCCGTATTTGACGATCTGACGGACCAATATAGTTTTCAATAATGCATTCACGTCGAATCGTTGGTAATGGCGGATAAAAGCGCAATGTTTCGTGCAAAACCGCATCGAGAATGTTCATTTTGTTTAATTTATCAAAATCGGGAACTATACCCTCTTCTAGCAATCGATCAACTTCTTCTTGGCAATCACGATAAACATCGGGGTACTTCAGAAGTATGTAGAAGCACCAAGTCATTAAATTACTGCTTGCTTCATGCCCCGCAAACAGAAAAGACGCTGTTTCTTGCTGTAGTTCTTGGTCGGTGAAACCAACACCGTCCTGATTAACAGCCGATAATAAAACATGAATTATGTCACTGCTATCTATACCCGATTGTACATCGCAGTGCTTCTCTCTGTATTCGATCATGATTTCTTTCACGAATTCCTGGATTTCATTGCTCCCTCTATCGATTATGTCTTTCTTCCAAAATGGCAAATTTTTGATGACTGGTATTTGATTCACCATATATATCGAACGATATTCAATAGCTTTGATAACATTTTTATATGTGTTACATAATAGTTCTTTTCTATTTGATTTGCGTGAAAATATTTCGTGACCAAATACGCAAGAGATGATAATAGAGAGAGTCAATTTGTAGAAGAAGCTTTCCAGATCGATAACCTCTGTATTTTGACAAGTGATATTCGATTGAAAATCATGTAATGTTTCAGCCGTCTGCACAATCATGATAGCCACCATAGACTGCAGTTTCGAGTGTTGAAAAGCTGGATTTAACAACTTTCTTGATCTTCTATGATATTCACCCTCACCAATAAATAGACTCTTTGTGCCACCTATTAAAGGACTGAAGACGGTTCGAAATAGCTCTGGTTTTTGGTAGCAGTTGGCATGTTTTCTTAACACATCACTAATGTAGGCAGGATCAGTCAAAACCAAATTCACTCGGTGACCAAACGACATTAGATAAATTTTTCCATGTTTTTCTTGTTGAGTTTGTCGAACTTTCAAAATTTGGTCATTATGACTGAAACGTGCGATGTGGCCGAAGAAAGGTTTAAAAGGATCACCTGGAACGTTTTGTGATTTAAGAATATCATAGATTCGTTTTTGCTTGTATACTAGTTCGTAAACTGCATGAAAAATGATCGCAGCAAGAACAGCTATAATCGTCGACGTGAGGTATACTTCTATCATATATTCTAGTAGTGAATGACAATGAGCAGTATATATTTCCTATAGAAAAAACTAAAAAGGTGTGGTGAAACTAATTTTTGCCATTGAAATGGTTTATATGTTCTCAGCAGTACAGCTCCTTTTAAAAAAATATTTTTTGTGATAAGTTTTGAATTCGAGATAAATACGTGGAAAAGCAGTTCGTCTACAGATCGTTCAGATATCCTACACTTTTCTATCTGACACTCCATTTTCGCTGAAAATTGTTAAAGTATTTGTTGTCGACTGACTGAAAAAGGTTTATTTTGCAAATTTTACGAAAATAGTTATGTCATCTTTTTTTGAGATTCGTAGTTTTTAAGCTTATCTTCGAAAATTTTCTGTCTGGAGTCGATGAATTTATTTAATTCATTTGGTGCCATTCATGAGTTATAAGTTTTGCTATATCTTTTTCTACCAAGAAGATAGGAAGTTAAGGAAGGAACTTTCTGTTCTCCTGTATCTTGGTAAGTTCTTTCAAACGAAAAATTTTACATATATATGTACTCATTGTGTCTTGAATAAAATATGTGGAAAATGAATTAGAATTTTTTCTACCTTTACTTAGTTCAGGTCTCTGTCAAATATCGTTGTGCTGAACTAAAAATTTTACTATAGCCTTCTTCACTACAGAATCAATCTGTACTGTAAATATTAGTAATTATGAACGCATCTAAGTTGGAATCGATTTTGCGGGATAGATGCCTCAAGATGAATCCGTATCTACAGAGCTTTTTCAACAAAATCGTATAACCGATTTGACAGATTTCGGAAAAAAGACTGTCTATAAAACTGCATAATATAAATTGTCCTTAGTTATCAGATCAAATAATAATGTTTTTCTCAAGAAGTTCAATAAATGCGAACAAGAGACACATAGTAGTATTCCTCTAAGATAACTAATTCTCTTATTCTTTAATACTTCTTTATGTAATATCTGATTAATCCATAGATTGTTGTATGAGCTTAAACAAAGATGTCGTTTACCGGAACGGGTTCTTTTACACAGATGCATATACGATGCATCAATTACAGTCATTTTTGGACTCAAAAAGTGAGTACGCTCCTAGAATCAGTCTGTATGTCTGTCCGGCCGTTTATTCCGATAACGCTCCAAAAATACATCCAAATGGGTGTTGTTCTGTGTAGTATTATCTCACCAGTATCATGGTCGAGTGTGAAGATGAGACTGATTTGCTAAGAAATGACAGAGTTATCGTAAAAATTACGGAAATTGACCAAGCTATCCCTTAAGGACAGTACAGGAACTTTCCCAAAACATATTTTTTGCTCATGATCATTCATAGCACATGCATATCAGTCAGTTTGCTCAGTTTTATGAAGGATACTCATCGGTCCTCAAGTTTCGTACTATGTGGATCTCTTTAGGTGCTTATATACCACACTATGGGTGTAGCCATGGATCCTTTTATACTACGGTTCGGGTATAACTCAGGTGTTCCAGTTTTACACTAGGCAAGCTCTCTTGGGTTCTGATAGTTTTATTTTAATTCGATCTAAGAATCATGATGTTTTGTCGAAAATAGCATCGTATTAATATACCGTTTAGGTTCGCTAAATCCGGTTGGTAGAACTCGCTTTTCGTGACCCTTTGAAAAATGCAGATATGGTACTAAGACTTCTCTATAGCTTCGATCTTGTACACTTATTGCATCACACCTAACTTTCGAATAAAATGCGAAGTTTCCGCATTCGTTTGCATTTGAAACAAACCCACACCCTCACCCCGTGTAAAATCCACGGCACCCCTGTATAGCATCATACCGGGACCTCGGCCTATGCTCAGGGTACGATCTCTGAATCCTAGGTGTCTCCCCACGATAAACTCAGCATATCCAAAACTATTCTTCCTTACTATTAAGTGAACGTCCAAGATACCGTCCTCCTATAAGACTCGATGAACCAAAGGGCGTCCCATATGGTAGCATATGAAGGGCCGATGGTGCTTATCTGAGAGAAAAACTGATGTTTCAGACTACTGCTGGTATGCCATTCGAAGATCTGGGGTACTTTTCTGCCATAAGACTTCGAAACCCAAGCGTATGTTGCTAGTGTGGCACCTGAAGACCCGAAGAGTACCCCTATAGTACAGAATAAGTGTGCCCATATCGACCGTTGGTGTTAGGTAGGAATATACTATCTAATCGCGCTTGAATCCCTTCGTCAGTCAGCAAAAATTAAAAGAAATACTACTGTAAAAATACGAATTCAATTTCCATCATGGTGAAAAATAAGTGTAATGGGCAGATGTGTTTCAAAAATGTTTATACTCATCCCGCGTTTTTTCCCTTATGTTCTTTTACCAGGAGACGCAGCTTTTCACGGGCTTTCAGAATCTATCTTTGTTTTTGTGGGACACCATAGTAATAATGAACTTTTGACTCAAATACGTAAAAAGTAAAAGATAAAAATTGGTTACGAGTTTTTGTATTTCAATCCTTTTAACCTTACAGATCATTCATTGAATTACGATTTTTTAGAGGGTTTTGTAGAGCAGATTCTGCGCTATCGGACGGTATAGGATACTTGAATGTTTGGTTAGTGTTTAACGAAGATATTGAGCAAACAAAAAGACCGTGAAAAAACGCAAAATTTGAAAAATCATTTTAGGGTGCTATACTTACCCTCGCTCTCATCTCCACTATTGGTATCACTTGCGATGCTAATATTTTGGGTTTTTTATGAACACAATATGACCTCTCAAAGGAGATATCAAATATCGAAATCACAAAACCGTCTCCGGATAGCTTGGTCTCTCCTGCCAAAAAGCCTCCCTTAAGTAATTATGAACAAGAGAAATCAGGTAGGAGTGCAAAGAAGTATCTGATGTTATCTGCGAATACGTTATGAATCAAAATCAACAGGATATAGGGCATAAATTTATGTATAATGCTTACCAAACGCCATATGTTGCATTTTTCAAAGTTTTAAAAAGGTGTATATTTTTTGATTTTTCACTCGAAAAGGGTCTTAGGACAGAATGGGTTTTTGACAAAACCATCTAGATTTGTAGAGTGCGACACGGCGCAGTTTGTCATGCTAGACTCATCCAGTACTAGTGTCAATTTCGGACCCAACAGCGCCGCATAGAAATTCGAAAAAAAAGATAATTACATGTAGAAACGTATTTTTCAAACAATATACTTTGTCGTTAACGATATCTAATTCAAGATAAAAAAATCCGAATAGCATGGATAGTAGACAGATGTATAGAGCTTGAAAAACTGCATAGATATGTACTATCAATTTTCATACTAATGAGGAAACAGCGAAGATAAGTAGACGATACAATCATGGACTTCTTGTGATGGATTTTACAGACGATAGTACACAATTTTGTCTCTCTACGATCATTTGAAAGGAAACAAAGTAAGCAAAAAGGTGTAGAATATCAAACTCTATCGCTCTAGCACATGGAGAATAAAATCTGAAAGGGGACAGATTTTGTACCTTATTCTGCGGTGTTCTTTTTGCCAAAAACAGTTTGCTATTGATTATTTGCACCAGATACAAGTCTATTCAGTTCTATGAGGAGTGTGTTTTGGTTCTCGTATTTTTCGTCTAACTCTGTTTAATTGTAATGAAATGTTCTCCGAAGTAGTGTCACATTAATGTTTTGCTTAAGTACAAAAATGCGGCGATTCAGCCTAGTCTTTCCTGATCCATTGGAAAGTGCTTATGTTTTACTTGGACTTTTTAATGACTTTGATATCGTACACTGTTTGCAGTATATATGAATTTCGAATAAAAGTCAAAGTTTCCACATTTATTTACTCTACGCCGATGAATGTTTTGTCTATTTTTTCTGTTTTTTATCGAGTAACATATGATACATTATAGCGTTATCCGGAAAGTCACATACATTTCGTACACCCAGGAAATTGCATTCCAGTATAGGCGGTATAGAGATTTTTAAGGTATAGGCGGTAGAGACCGGTATAGAGCCTATACCGTCCCATACTACCCTCACCCTATATCGTCCTATAGGGAAGGTATATCTAAAGCTCGTTTTGATCCTCTTTGAAAGTCTTGCAAAAAGCAGTTTCCCGGAAAACGCTAAAACGCATCAAATCTTTAGTAATAACATGTTGTTATGAATCTATCCGACGTGTTTCAAACAAACATTAATTGAGAAAAAAAAGTAACATATTAAAAAAATCGATAGAGATCTGTTCACAGATCGATCTTTAACATTCTAGTGAATGTAAGGAAAAATGGCAATCACAAACCCAACAAATAAAACCATTCGACTAGATACAGGTTGATTACGTTATTTTTCAGAGTTACGTGTATTGAGCCTAGCTAAACGAAACTCAGAGTTTTTTTTATCTCCATCTAGTAAGATAGAGCGTCGGTTACTCTACCGAATCATACTTCTTTGATTTTATTTGCAAGGATCTTTCTATGGAACAATGGCGCGTTAAAGACAGGCGCTTTAAACATTTTTTGAAGCACTATAACACATTTGACACGTATTTTCATCACCAGATAACCTCTAATGAGCTGTCAAGCATAAATTCTGATCTTTATGAAAAATTCTACAATTGTTAGAAGAGATGCGTGATCGACTCCGTTTTGTAATAGACATATTTTTTTATTTCTTTGGCAGAAAAAATTGTCTTTTTACAAAAAGAAAGGTATTTTGTTGTAATTCAACGTTTTTGTCATCTGAGAACGTCTCTAGAAACAAAAGTGAGCCGTACCTGAAAGAAATAGAATAAAAAGCTTATGAAAACAATAAAAATTTATTTTCATTGGTTTGAAATATATTTAAGAGATGGTGTCAAATCAATATTGACACACTTCCTATTTCATTGATGTGGCTTTTCGCGTTTTGAGAACAAGAAGGAGGAAAAATGGACAGGGCGATCTTATGTAAATTGTCGAGTTTTGACGGTACATCGACTGGTCTATTTTGTTTTGCGCTAGATTGTATTAAACTATATGTCTTTAAACTATAAAACGCAGAAAATCATGCTTTAATATTCATTGTAAAAGCAATTTTTAACCACTTCTTTGTAGTTTAGTATTTTTTATAAGAAAGCTACAGCAAATGAGATGAAAATAGTATGATGTGGTAGAGTTATCGACGTTCTACCTTTCTACATGTGAATGGAGAAATTTGGACTTTTTGTTCAATTAGGCCAGATCATGGAAAACTATTACAAAAAAACATACTCAACCTGTATGGTCTGCTTTTTCAATAAACCATTCATTAGCTACCCCACACTAAATCAGTTTTCTTTTTCATCATTTGGTGCAAAACTAAAATGCTCGTCCCCTCTCTCGACACTAGAAAATCCATGCGAGAAATTTTCTTCTTAGCGTGTTTCAAATGCTTTAATGGCACATTTAATAGAATACGTTCAGCTGCTCCTGAAAGAAAGCATTTGATGCGTCCGAATACGTTTAGATGTTTTGCAAAAAAAGTTCTATTCATGCAGATTTGATGTGCTCTATCATTACCCATGTAAACAGTTTTGCATCAAAGTGCATCTCAACTACAATTAATTCATGTCTATACGTGTCGTAGGTGAAAGATATGTGAGATACTAATGCGACTGAACAATAAATGCACTTGCACGCATCTACATAGAAACTGGTCAAACACGATTAAAAATACAATACGCTCCCGTCCCGTCATCCGTGAAATAATCGGAGCGTTTAGACGTGTTTGATTTGAATTTAAAAACTAGGTAAAAGATGCTAACAATTGATTTCATATTTGAGCACAGTAGCCGTTGGTATTATACTGTAATGGTCTTAGTCTACCCTAATATATGGAATGAATTTTTCATTAATATGACGGAATACAGATCGGAATATGTACGTAGACTATCGATCAGAAGTCTTCAACATACACCGCTGAGCTATACTTACTCAAAGTGTATTCTTATTCAAATGGATATGTATTTGAATCCATACTTTCCAACTTACATACATAAATATAATAATACTTTTTTCATCTGTCAAGAAAAGATAACACCTCGTCTTATGTTTTACCAATAATCACCTTATTATCCCAAATACAATGGTACGTTTTCTTCTCTATCTATAATTGTATTAGAAATGTTCTGTTCTTTAGAATACTAAATATTGAATGAAATTTAAACAATCCAGATATAGATACCTGTCGAGTTTTAACTAAATTAATAGATTTTATTTGAATAGAAAATATGACTTGATTGTTCAAGATATTTTTTAACACGCACAAATAAAAATTTTCGCCTAAGTACTGTGTATCCGATGTAATATATTTTCTAATTGAACGTTTATCGACATGAAAAACTGTCTGAACATGTTCAGAAGGTATGTAATCAGAATTTTTCAGAGCGGAAATCAGTAAATTACTAGAATCAGACGTGTCATTGCGCGCCTTCAAAAATCAAGCACCTTCAAATGAGTTTTTATAAAATTCAAGTTGCATCGAAAAACGATCACACTGTTAAACGCATTTGAAATGTTTCTTAACGCATCTAGGCGCTCTCTCATATAAAGACGCGTCTAAATGCAAAAAAATTGCTTTCCATTTTAAACGTGCTTGTACACGTATATACTTTTCAATGTGATAGAATTGGTTTTAAAGGTATAAACTATATTATCATCATTTAGATCAAAGCATGTTTAAAAGCTATTACCATAATACTAGTGCGGAGCCTTTTGTGTATCGAAATGTCGGCGAACAGCTGGATCTTATGTGCAAAGAATATCCAGATCGTGAATGCCTGGTATTCTGCGCAGAAAAAAAACGTTTCACGTATGCCGCTTTACACAATGACGTCACCAAGTTTGCTCAAATTTTGCTGTCGCTCGGTTTTGATGTTGGCGACCGGTTAGGGGTCTGGTTACCGACAACATCGGAGAATATTTGTGTGACATTAGCAGCTGCGAAAGTGGGTTTAATCAAAGTTAATTTAAATCCCACTTTAACTGCAAGAGAACTAAAAGATTTTCTTTTACTAAGTGGATGTCGTGGCTTAATATTTCAAAAACAGGTTAAGTCTGTGGACGACTGTTGGTCGCAATTAAATATTCTTTCAGCAACGCTTCAGTCGTGCGAGCCTGGTGATTTGAGGGATCCTGACTTACCGTCGTTACAACATGTGATCCTTGTTTCACAGGATGAACAGATCGAATACTCTGGTACGTTCTAATGATGAGTACGTCGCAAATAGTTGGGGAACCTCAAAATTTGTTGCTTCTATTTTATAGTGCCAGGAGTTCACGTACTCCAGAAGATTATGGTGACGAGTTCACCTGAAGACGTATTAGAAAGACAAAATTTAGTGGAATGTGAAAGTCCTGCATGCATTTTTTTCACGTCGGGGACGACAGGTCAACCCAAAGCATCGGCTATAAGTCATTTTACCATTGTCAATGAGATCAACCAGTCATGGGGAACAGACTGCGACCAATTTTATGAGCGCCTCTGCGTGCCAGTGCCAATCTATTTTATATACGGTTACATGAATGCCACCATGCACATATTGCAAGTATTTTAATTTTCTAATGGCGTCAGCGTTTTCCAATGTTTCGTATATGTTAAATAATTCGAAAGGAATATTTTCGAGACTCATTATAGAAAGATTACCAGAAAACTAGAAAAGTTTTTTATGTAGATTAGTGATGGCGCTTTACAGTTACTTCTCAAAAGTAACTGCCCTTTATTCGATTAGAAAAACGAATTATCTCACAGACATAAGATATTGCTGCCGAACGCCTAGTAATTGAATTTTACACTCTTTCTTTTGATTTACGAATTACACGAAGCAATTGTTTAACACCTACAAAATGAAAAAGTAGTTACTTTTAAATGTCAAGTGGGCGTGGCATCCGTAATATAGATGGATGTTTCTGTATATTTACTGTATATTTTCAACCCAAAGACACATCTTTTTAAGAAAAAGATTTGATTTACTGCTTTTAATCAGTTTTAAAAACGTAAGATTTGTAAATTGTTATTTTAAATCACACCTATGCAACGACGTGTTCGTGGTAATCTTATCAGATAAGCCCTTTATACCAATACAAATACAAGTGATGTTCTGCTGATGAATTATCAAATGAGTAGTGCTGATAAAATACCATGATTATATCGATATATCCACTAGAAACGCTTGGTTCTTCTATACCTTATGACGAATGTGTCGAACTGAATGAACCTCGCAGTATTTTACATTTTCACCATCCGTAATTTCACATAGAGAAAACATTTCTTGATAGAAAAATTGAGTAAATACTTTTATTGTCTTTTAGTCTCCATTGTTTTCAGACGTGTGACACAATTGATTAATCCAAGAATCACAACTTTCGGACACAGCATACTTTTGATTTCATCTATAACGTGCCTAAATTGACGAACCGCGCCATTTTTTTCGTGCTATTCTATTTCATCCATGATCTTTGCAAATTCATCCCGTATACAGGAAAGTTTTCGATTTAAATAAGGACTATTTGCTGTCCAATAGTCTTGAGAGTGAAAGTAGGCTGTCGTTACATCTTCTTGGAATGTCCAGCCATTTCCGAAGACGTGATTGTCATATTTAATGATCACAGAAAGCATTTCTTTAGTATATCGATCATGATTCATTCTACGTCAATGGAATATCACCGAAGCAAGTACACCTTTCAAATCAACACCATGTCAAACTATGATCCTCTGGAGGAATCTTTTTGGCGACTACCATCTTCTTCATGTGCTTTATAATAATTTCTTGCCTAAATATGATCGTTATGAGTATTGTAAATACTATCGTCATTTAAAACTTTTAAATCGGAAAACGAAATCCTTAATGTTTCACATTTTCAAAAATCTGTTCAAGTGTAGTTGGCGAAATGTTTCCTTCTATCGCGCATGCTTCGACAAGTGCTGACTCGATGCCATTTCAATGTAGTCGCCAGCTGGAAAGAATCATTGCCAGCGATCCATCTAAAACAAGCGTGTGTTTTCGACTTGATATTTTTTTCTCCTCTTCTTAGTAGCTTTTTCGGTTAGAACTGTACATCGAGACCCCGCTGATATTATTAAAATAATACAAGCGCTTTTATTCCGCATCCTATACGACCTCTCAAGGGTTGATAAAGTAACTATACTGTGCGGAGCACAAAAAATGTCCCTTGGGTAATCACCATTGAGAGCTTCGAAGTTCACACGTTCTACAAATTTTCACTTTTCACTAATAGAGAAACAACTGAAATTTTGTTTCAGTGATGTGATGAGTTTAGGAAAAAGAAAAAATAAAGATTTCAAATATTTTCTAAAATCTATCAATAAAGGCTATTGAACAGCAAATAATTCTGATTTAAACCTATCAAATTCCTGTATTTGGGATGAATCTGTAAAGATCATTCATGAAATAGAATAACATTCAAAAGACAAGACATGTCTGAAAATAATGGAAACTATATGAGAAAATAAAAGTATTTACTCAATCTTTCTATCAGAAGATATTTTTTCTTTGTTGAATTACAGATGATGAAAATGTAAAACACCGAGACGTTCGTTCAGTTTCACGCATCAGGAATAACTGAGCTCTCGAAAATACAAAGTAGATGTGTCAATTTCTAGAGCATCTTATGTTGGTAGCTTCCATCCTTCAGTTAAAATTAAGTTTGAACCTCATCTGTTACAAAGCTGGTCAGTTAGAATAAGAAAAGAATGAGAAAACGGAACTGTTTTGAAGGTATATTTTCTTCAAACTGTTCACTAATAACTACAAGCATACTGCTATTCAGACTCAAATTTAATTGATATCTGATGAACGTTTCAAAATAATTTAGGAGCATAATAAGACCAACTTGCATCATTTATCCTTGGTCTTTGCCGACGAGTGATATAGCACATTTGACAGAAGTTATCCACAATGAACGCTGTACCGCGTTACTTGGAGTTCCAACAATACTTTTTGATTTAATGCAGTATAAACGTCAACATGAATGTGATTTCAAGTCGTTACAGCTAGTAATACTTAGTGGTGCACCAGTATCAGCTGCTTTTATCCAACGAATAGAGTCAGAACTAGAAACTCCATATGTGGCGCAAGTTTACGGTCAAACAGAATCGGGTCGGATTGCAACCACCTCGTTTGTACCCACTGATTGTCCAAGACAGCGTTATGAATCAATGGGCAAATGTGTTCCTCGACGGGAAATCAAAATCATCGATGTGAACTCAAAGCGTATCGTACCATTAGGAGAGACCGGCGAAATCTGCACGCGTAGTTTTCATACAATGTGCGGTTATTGGTCGAACGAACAGAAAACTCGTGAAGTGATTGATAATACACAATGGATGCATACGGGAGACCTGGGAGCTTTAGATGCGGATGGTTGCCTCTATTTTCGTGGGCGTGTTAAAGATATGATCATCCGCGGGGGCATAAATATTTTTGCTTTCGATATCGAAACATGTCTCGAGCAGCATGATGCAATTCAAAAAGCTCAAGTTTTTGGAATTCCGGATGAACGTCTTGGTGAGATTGTATGTGCTTTTGTAATCACTAAGCGCGAGATTGACGAACAAGAGCTTAGAATCTTCCTTCAAAAACACCTTGCATACTTCAAAATTCCTAAGTACATTCGACCGATTGATGTATTTCCAGTGACAATTAATGGGAAGATACAAAAATTCAAACTCTCCGCTATCATGCAACAGCTTTTAAGCAATGAAGACAATAGGACTTAGGCAAGGAGTAAAAAAATGACTCAATTCTGACAACTATTTCTCTTTTTGTGAACCTGACATAATAAAAAGAAACTCAAGAGTGAATGTGAGATCATCTACCAACAAATATATTTTGATCGACGTGAGACTGTAACAGGTACTGTCCATCCCTAATTCCGTCCAAAACCGGCAGAATCAAGTAGGAAACAGTGAACTATTATGGTAGGTGAGAATGTAGTCGAAATGCCATAAAAAGTTTACGTTTCACCTAAGGGTGTCAACAAATGGCTTCATATGTGTCTTCGGGTCCAACCATTTCAACGAAGGGCTGTGCAAACACGAGTACAAGTTGTACTCTGACCTGATATTTATATTTTGATTTGAAAGACCTAGAATCGATAAGCTTATATGATAAGGTATTTTGTTATGCACATCTTAAGTTAGATGCGCGAGAGTAATGAGTTAATGATGTCTAAAATATTCAATCACATCTTTGGCAATTGAGATCGAGTAAGAAAGTGATGATATGAACAATAATGATAGACTATGTACAGGCCAACTTGAGCCACACTAAGATGTGGATGAGTCAAGTTAACACGTACTACGTATATACATATTCGTTATGATGTTTATATTTGAGATGAAAATGATAAAGCGACTGAAAGCAAGTGTTAACTAAATAATAGCACTTAACATTATCACGTAACCGATACCAAGTTTATAGACCCTTTCTTTGATGATACTTGAGCGCAACATTAAATGCAAATATGGTGTCAAAGTGAAAACGTCGATTTTCTAGATTTTACATTCTGAAGTAATATACTCCACTTCAATGTGAATTATTTATCTTTCTAATTGTTCAAGCCAAACGTACAAAATTGAGGAAAATACTCATCGACTTTTAATAAATTATATGCCACACTTTGAGCATTGTTGAATTTTTAACTGAGAAGAAGCAGTAACATTTTTGAAAAATACCAAGACTTTTGAATTACCCTATACTTTTCTACTTTTATGACTGGTATTTTGGAAAATATACGGAGGAAATCATTTTGAAAAATAAGTGTAAAAAAAGTCGTCATTTTGTCTTAATCCCTCGAGGGCGAAGTCCGAAAATTTACAGCTTTGAAGTTTGTCGTAAGATGAAAACCGTTAAATACACGTGTTTAAAGTTTTTGATATACATTGTATTCAAACATACATGTCATTGGCAATAGCGCTATGCAGTGGTATTCTATTCAATATATCGCGATAAGCCGGTCATCGTCTTGAAACGAGACAGTGAAACACATAGCGTATGGCATGCTCTGTAAAAAAATCGGGTCATACTGAACCTTTTTTGGTTTTAGCAAAAAAATCTAGAACCTAAAATGGTTTTAGCCAAGTGTACCGAACTAGAAAAGGTTTCAGATTTCTTTGCTAGAACCCAAAAGGTTCTGAAAATAAGGTTCTGAAGATGGTACCCAAATCTAGAACCATAAAAGGTTTTAGACGCTAGCTAAAACCTTTTATGGTTCAGTATCGTCCGGTTTTTTTTAGAGAGTATGTCAGTTTGCAATGAGACACATCTTCGTCGTTTATCCAACGAAAAAGGTTTTTCAAAGGGTTGATCAAGTTGATGAAATAGTTTCACTGTCATAATTAAACCCTATTTGAAGAATGACTTTTTCACAGAGTTTTTTGTTGATACGGATCGGATTCAACCCGCAACTCTCAATGACGAACAACTCAGTGGGTATGGCATTTATGCGCCGCTCCAACTGTTCTTGAAAAAACGTGAACTTCAGAATTGGGGTCGCCCGTTTCTATAGTCTTTCAATTCTAATGACAGGTTCTCATATGTTATCAGAGCTTAAGTAACGTTTTTGTAAAAGCAGAGTGGAGATTTAAAAAATCTTTAGGTAAATCTGAAGAAATGGCTCTAAAGGACACTAAAATTTAAACTATCGTCCCTCAGTATAGAAAACATTAAAAAAGCAAAAGAACACTTAGGATAATCTGTTTTCGCTCACCCATTATCGATAAGCATAAGACTACACAACAAAGTTAAGTGCAGATGCAAGTAAGAATGTTTGAAAAAGTATTCAAAAATATTGTCGGTAGACTTTTCAACCGTATAGATCGAAGTCTTCCATGTTTAGTGTAAACTCTCCGTTGTACTGCTAGTTAGTTGTCAGTTCTGTTTCTTCGTCATCCAAGCCGGGCGTCATTAGCATGAGTACTTTTTCTGCTTCAGTTACAACTGTTTGATCGAATCCGCTGAATGAAGTACGAAGTTCTGTATTGTATGCACCAAATTGGCCGAGTTCGATGTAATCGCCAGTACTCACGTCTGATGGCAATACAAATGGGCCAGATATGTAATCAGCTTCATCGGATGTTGGTCCGCTTAGCGCGAATGAAGCCAGTTCGGCTACTGAATGGCGTAACAGGCGGAAGGGAAACTTCCATCGTCTGGGAGGTCCAGCTTCATGTAGATTGCCGTACACACCATCATTCACATAAAGAATATTGGTAGTTCCTCTACGACTCTCCACACGGATGATAAGTGAACAAGCTGTAGCCACAAGCGCTCGCCCTGGTTCGCACCATACACGTGCTTTAGAAACAAACTCTAATGGTAAATTTTTACACCCCTTTTGGATAATATCCATGTATGAGCTTAGATGAGGAGGTATCGAGTCTGGATAGCTTACAGGGAAACCACCTCCTACATCAATGACTTCGAGAGGTACGCAAGCATAAGCAATCACTTTGCCAGTATAAATCAGTGCTTTAGCATAGCAATTGACATCGACGCATTGAGTGCCAACATGAAACCAAATGCCTAAGTTTTGGGCTCGATTACGAGCAAGTTTCAACAAGTTAGCTGCTTCTTCGAGTCCTTTGACTCCAAATTTACTTGTTGATGCATAA